TAAATACAGGAAGCGAAATTCACCGGGCGTGGTACAGTATTTAAAAGGTGAGGTGCCGCGCGGCTTGTGCCAAGACCTGTGGGGCCGGCTTCCGGCGTTTCTGACCCGGCACCTGACCTGTGTACTCACCCCAAGAGTTTAGCCGCTTTAAGGTACGGTCCGTTATCTCTTATAAACTATTCCACAGAAAAGGTCCACGGCCCACGGGTCCATGGCGCCAGGGAATCCCCCGGAAGTCCCCGAAACATGCAAATAGACTCTAGTTGTGCTCAATTTACTGACTCGGCGCATTTAAGCGGGATTTGAAAAAAGTAAAATAAAATAAAATAAAATAAAGTCCCCTCCGCTGGGGTCCAAACATCAGCTGTACGGGCATTCCCCGAATGGTGGCGAACATGTCTGCGATGACCCACTCCACGCTTCTCACGGGGCTAGAGAAATCTATTGTCAGCCAAGACTCTAAATGGAAAGAGATTGAAGGATCCAAAGCGTACTGAACTACTGGTCTCTGTTGCCGCGCGAGTGCTGCTTGCCGTGACATTGGATGATGGGATCGGAGTAGCAACCGGCCGAGTCTCAATGATGGGGACAGGGTCACATCCGCCAAAAGTAAAGCCACTGTTGTCCGAAATGCTCACTGGCGCGGTGCGGTGAAGGTCACATTGGCTTGACTGGTTGATATAGATCCAAGCCTCACAGTTCGGAATCTTCCCACACCAGCTCTGACAATCAGATGCCGTGTCGAGATCGAAGCTGAAGGCAATGGGGGCGCTGTTGAAGCAGGCAATTGTCTCGTTGTGGACGGAGGTCCAACAGTCCGATTTGGCTTCGACGCCAGCCAGAGCCAGGGCAGCCAAAAAGATAAAAGGGCGGGTAGGAGCGATCATTTTTGATAGGAAAGCCCTGGACGATATGGAGGAATGTGTGGCCTGGCAGTGATGGACAGGGTCGCGAGTATATGGAAGAATCCTTGCTTTTTTAGATCATTTAAGAACGATCTATTTTTAGGGTGTACTACCATGTTTGTAAAGGACACGCCGGGGCTAAGCTGAAAGGAATAATCTATCGCCTGGATCCTAACTGACTATGCTCCGTGGTAGAGAGGCACGGTAATCTAGAGTGGAGATAGGATCCAAGCAGCCCCGTTACCTATGTCCAGTGCTTGATTGACATGAGAAATCCCTCGACCCTGTGGATAGAGCGTGACTTTCAATGAGACTGTTTACTGTCACATAGATGTAATGGAGACGTTGAACTGTTGTGGTGGTTATATACAGTACAGGTCTCAGCCCTAAAGCAGAAGTAGTGCGGTCAGGATGAACATCAAATACAATATCGCAACAGGAGGTTCAACAGATTGAAGGGTTCGCCAGAGTGGACCCTGCACATCCGTGTTCAAGCTTGGATTCCTTAGTGATCCCTTCTCGGAGCCGGCCTCTTCCGCCGCGCCCAAGATCTACATCTGCAACCAATATGAGACATTTTCGACGCTAATGATACGGAATACAGTAAAACCTCGCTATAATGAGCCTTGATATAACGAGAGCCTCAATAATACGAGATTTTTTCCTTGTCTGAATTAATTTCCCCTAAATAACAAGATCCCTCGTTACAACGAGTCTCGTTAGTTTGGCCTTTTGCCCCCATATAGATCTCGTAATATCAAGGGGTTTTTATGTGGGCGGATAATTAGAGTGTAGGCCATAGTCAAGCTATACCTAATTACCTATCATAAATAGGTTCTTTGAATCACGTGTACCTGCTTGCTCATGTATTTACTAGTCCTTGATATAACAAGAACCTCATTATAACGAGAAATCTAGCCTGTCAAATGAATTTTATCTTGCTATAACGAGGTTTTACTGTAATGGAAGTCCGCGATGGGATTCCCTTGGCTTAATCTTATTGTAATCGTCTATTGGATCTAAAACCTGCGCTGAATACTAGACGCTAATCATCGAGCCCACCAGGGGTGTCTCTACCAGTGAGTGACTACTAGTAACCTAGTAGTAATAATATCCGACCCTTTTTCTTCCTTCTCTCTCTTTGACAATAATGCCTCAAGAAGCTAGAACTGACCCACCAGACTTTGGTTTCTCAAATTGATGCTCTGTTGCCAGAGTTGTGGGTCCATTGAGCTTTTAGCGAGGCCAAAGAAGGACGATGCACCGAATCTGACGGTTTAAAAGGGATATAAACATGCCCTCTGTGGGCGTAATCAATTCACGTGCTCACTGATCTCGGTGTTATTTGTTCCTGGGCCGGGAATAGTGGTTTGGTCATGTATATCAAATCCCTCAGCCTCTTCTGGCTGTTTTCCGTGCCCACTCTCACCGTTGGTTCAACAATCAGCTCGTTGTTTGTGATCAGACAGGGCACGGATGAATTGGGCGGCTGCGGCTCTTATCTCCCAACACTCGAAACATGGTTATCTGAAAGCAAAGCCTTGGTCAATTCCGGATTGCAGGCGCTCGCCAACGCGGAGAATCCCTCCGCGGCGGAGTATGATGTCGCCAGACGGTATCTCTGGTCCTATTTCAGGGCCACTGGCGATCCTGACGCAATGACTTGGGTAAAGGGTGAGATTTCCCCGTCACTGAGCCACCTCCACGAACCACACTTCTGACTGCGTTGCAGACTATCTGTTAGAAGCGAAGAATTTCCTGGATGGGACATCAACGAGACTGGCAAGGACGCCTCATTTATACTGCAATGATAAATGGCTCAAAAAGCTATCGCGGTCAGATGCGGCCTGGGACACCAGTAGGGATGAGACAATTATGAAAGTAAATCCAGAGGATGGATCTATGGTTCCTATGACGATCGAGGAGGTCCCACTATACCAGAATTACCTCTGGGAGAAAAAAAATAACTTGCTAGTAAGGAATAAGCTTGTTCCTTATTGGTCAGATGACTTGTTGGAGTACATCTTTGATATAGGCTACGGGAGTAAGTCTTACTGCACCACATCCAACAAAAACATGGGAGCCACACAGCAGCAAACCAACCCCAATACAATCACGTTGTGCCCTTCTACCTTCACAAACCATGATGGTGTGGACGGGCTCGGGTCTGCAACACCCAAGGCAGGCCTGTCAATTATGAAAGTCCTCCCACGAAGCGCAACCCTCTACCATGAACTGTTCCATCTCGTATTAGGCAACGATGAGACTCCTGATATAACATGTAAGTCCTAGAGAGCTCGCATCTAGCCGAATCCCACCCCTTGCTGATAGCTCCTAAAGACAGCTGGACCAAGCAGCAAACCATGCTCAAAAATCCCACAACTATACCTAGGGATTATGACGAGACCAACGCGCAGCTCATTCGCCGCAACCCTGAGTCATATATGTTCTTCTGCGTAGGCTACTAGTACTTCCAGCAGACGCAGTGGAGCGCCAAGGCAAATGAGAGATGGAGCTTCCAGTCCGGTGCGGCTGAATTAGTCACAATCTAGTAAGAGGTAATAAGAAAAGGAGTAACAAAGGATTTTTCTGAGGGGGAGAAGAAGTTGAAATAAGGAGTGATAGCCACATAATCTTGAATATGCAACTTCAGACAAAGTAAGAAAAGAATTAAGAGGACTAATAGGATTCAAAGACGAGGCAGTCTCTTAAATTCATAGAACTCTTCTTTCCATTCTATGGGGCCGACTTCTTCCAGCTCCTCAATGAATCTCTCCATCACAGTCCCATAGCCTGTTGATACAAATCTAAACTCAGCCTTCCCTGCATCCTGCTAGAAATGCAGCCATAGCATTAATTAGGCTTCTTGTCCATGCAAGTATTCTGTCTAGGTAGCCCATAACTGAACAGGAAGATGCATTTGCTTTAACTAACTCTATGGAATACTAAACCCCATGATAGGTGGGCGAATCCCCCTTAGCTTGGAAATCTCAGCCTGTTGGGCTTGTGTCATAGGTGCTGGAAAGTAGACCTGAAATAATTAGGTAAATGATCAAGGTAACACTTAAAACCATCTTTCATCACCATAAATAGTCTTATAAGAGACTAGGGGTACTATTGCTCCACTGGCAAGACTCTCCCTATATAGCTGGGCGGAAGGGGACGCCATGAACTCCCTTAATCCTGAGGTAGTGTACCATACTATAAGCATTAGTTAGTATATGTATGAGTAATTAGACTACTTAAGGGATGATTACATGTTGCCAGAATGATGATGTTTGGACTCTCCTACACTCTGGCCCATACAGTGGTATGGTAGCCTACAGCGTGAACCAGTGGCTGAAAATATCCAGCCCAGCAGTTAGTATCCAGCTCCTCCCCAGGGGGCACTTGGAGCTTGGTCCAGACAATAATTCTTAGGTCATTTTCAATATTAAGCAAAGATTTTATCTGGCCATCACACGCCGCGGCATCATACGCCATGGCAGAAAGGGTTTCGTGAAGATCTCAGAGATAATTGAGATGAAGAATTTCCCAGAAGTGGTCTTAGCGGGCAAACAAGAAAGAGGCACGTGATACTCCTGCCTAGGGCAAAGAAGCCTGGGCTGCGCTGGAGATGCTGCATGACCTCATTCTTTGTTATACTTCATTTTTAATAGTGTTAGATCTTTTCTAACCAAACCTTGATATGGAAGGACATAACTAATCAGCATCAGTCACCAACTATTAATATTATTCTCCGCAAGAAACCAGGACTGCCAAGAATAATCATGTGAGAGTGACGGTGAGTTTACCAGCTGGTGAAAGGGACTATTGCATTAAAAGGGGCTGCGAGCACGAGAGGGTAGTAGTTTTACTTGATTTTATCTTAAATCAAGAAAGCCAGACGTGCGAATAAAGGAGAGAGATATATAAAGGGAAGAAGAGGGGGACGTCGCCTCGTAGACGTGTATCCGGTGCTTGACGGCCCTAAGGCCTGTTAGGGGGTCGTATAGATGCCGTGCCATGAGGTCTCCCCGTGGCCTGAGTGCTGTATACTGAACCGTCTTCTATCTCAGTGCTCGTCCGGGACGGGGGAATCGCTGTCGCTATTCCCCGACTGCGTGTTTCCCTGTGACTGCCTTGAATCCCTATCTCCCTATCCAGTACCCGCGGAGTTCACTTATGTTCCGCCGCATTCATCCTCATCCATCCGTCTGGCTCGGCCCCTCAGGACCGGCTCCAGGATGGTGCATGCACCCAATGCATAAAGACCATGTGCCATTGGCCTGGCAGATGGCCCAGCGCTCTCCACAATCTTTCGCTTTACATTTCAAGAAGGTATGTTGAGAATTGAAGTGTTTGCAGATGGGACAATCACCCTCTACACCGGAGGAATGGGAGCGCTAATAAGGTCAGCTTTCAGGAGCATGTGCATGCACAAATATAACTTACCATATTGTACTATTCGGTGTTAGATCTTGGAGTGTAATGGAGGGGTTGATTCCAGATCGCAAGTAGACCTTCACACCTTGTTGACAGGTTTTTGAGTCATGGTGGGTTTCCTTCAAAATTATAGCTCCCTGAAGAAGACTGAGGACCAAGCGGAAGCACGTGCAGCACTGTAGATTTTCGAGCTGCAGATGCGTCCATTTATACACAACGCCTTCGTTCCGTGACACAGGGATATCTTAGTATGGAGAGAAATGATGGAGAGAAATGATGGAGAGAAATGATGGAGAGAAATGATGGAGAGAAATGGTGGAGAGAAATGGTGGAGAGAAATGGTGGAGAGAAATGGTGGAGAGAATTGATGGGGTAATGAGGGTCGTGCGACTGATAAGGCTATGTATGGCTACTTTAGTAAAGAATGTGATTGTTGTTTCAGCTCATAACATTTGAAGCTCCAAACAACCAACGATTACCCAATACCCCCCGTAATGTGTTCCTACTGCTACCTTTCAAGAATCAAAATCCATTCGTATCCTCTCCTTGCCCATATTCACAGGCTTAGAGCGATCGGACTCAGAATGTCCTCAACCCTTGTTGGTAGCTCGGGTCGCATTTACGTGCGTGATAGGGTGCTCAAAGCTCATCCGAGGAGACCAGAGCTCAATATCTACCTCGCGCAGTAAGTCTCAATAATCTTGCTAGTGACTCTCAACTAGATACTAACTAGGCGGCAATGGAAACCAGTTGTGAGGGCCGATCGTTTGTTCTGAAGCCTGTTTCTGAGTCGATATTCAAACACTCCCTAAGCCTCAAACGGGAGTTTCCAGATACCAGTCAACTTCGAACTCATGTTGACGCCAATGAAGACGAGTTGGTTCTTATTTATGAATACTTCACGCATGACTTGCTTTCCCTTCTTACAGAGCAACTCATACCTCCCTGTCAGAACAAGAAAATTTATATTGCGAGAAGTCGGACGAGCCGTGGAGAAGCTTCACGCTAAACACTGGATACACTTAGGTTGGGCGCAATAAAGTGGAATACCACTCCATTGGGCAATCTCACTGACATATTTATTCTCCAGATATAAAGCCTGACAATGTTATGATCAACTGTAGAGAAAACAACAAAGGCCAACTCGGCATTGAAAAAGTGGTATTATCTGATCTCGACTGTTCTCTGGAACTGGAAGGCGAAAAGCTGCTCCATGCTAGAATAGGGAATGTCATGTGGCGCAGTCCGGAGGCGCAAATAGGGAGAGGTCTTGGTAAGCCTTCTGACGTATTCTCTTATGGACTACTTGTGAGTTGGACTTTCCTTGTTGAAAATGATATTTGCTTAATATCGCCCTCAGTTTCTCTATGTGATAACAGGCATGGAAACCCTACACCCGGACTTCAAAGAGTTAAGGGAAGCGGGAGTCGAATCTGAACTGGAGATCCTGAGCCGATTGATCACATTCTTCGACCCTGTTCCTTTTGAACTCGTAACACATGTTAACCATGGGAGATGGGCTCATATCTTGATGGAGTTATCAGAGGCAACAGCTGGAGATCCCAGTATGCGATTCACCCAGTGGAAAGAAGACGATTTCCCAAACCTTGACGCTGAAACAAAGAGAGTTATATCTATGATGGTAAGTCTTAATCCTGCGGAGAGAGCCACTATGTCCCAAGTCTTGAGGGATCCTTGGTGGAATCGGGGTGAGGGTTTAGGTCTGGAATGATGATATTTTGTCTTTCGGTTGGAAAACGACCTTGGAGTGCTGAAACAGTGGCCATTGATTCTTGATGTCAAGTCCAAATTGAATCAAAATGACCGATCATTGCGAGTTCCGATAATGTGGTCCTACAAACTACCAGCTGGTTACTGCAACCATCGTCAAATTGTATAGTAGGATCATGCTTTTACAAGACCAAGACTAATAATGCTGCTCGAGATTCAAGATATAACTATGAAGAGGACTGATTGGATATATCTAGTGCTGGAAGCCGTCACACCTAGCAGGCGTTCTTGGTACTGACGAACCAAAACGAACGAGATACCTCAGATGGCAGATCGTTACGTAGGTTGTATCCGACCTCAAAGGAGCCGTCAACGGATTCAGCAACAACAGCCTGGAAGCTCGGCTACGGAAACAAGCAGTTGTCGATGACGGATCCGCACGCGACAGCGCCTGGTGGTTTCCCTCTCGTTTTCGTCCAGATGTTCTAATCCGGCACTGACTAGAATGTTTATAAGGGCTGAATTTGCGAGCACTCCTCTACTACTTTACTACATCGTGCTTCGACTCTTAGATTCCGAATCTGATTTGACCCCAGTCTCAGTGCACTGTTGGCAACCTTCAGAGGGCTATTGAGTCAAATTCATTCCGTGCAATCTTCACCGTAGAATCTCACCTTGGTGTAGAGCGCGATGCCATTCACGACCACGTCCAGCAACTTGAATTTCAATAGCATATGAAACAGAGTACTAAGCGGACCCTCAAATAAAACGACAGTGGAAGGAGGATTGTCAAAGAACGCGGTACATTGGCACAATATTCCGCATGCTAACACTACAGCGTCTGGAATTTAAGAGGTGCATATTCTTCTGTTTGCAAGGCCGCCGGCCATAATCAACTTTACGCTTCAAGTTCTTTACAACCATGATATAAAGTCCATATCCAATATCACAATACATTTCTGCATCACAGGTCGCATACTGAAGCAAAACAACTCCACATGTCAGGGCTATGATCGTAGGGGTGCGAACTCGGCAACTCCCATTGGAATGTCCCTAGCGACGGCGTCTGTACGAGAAAGTGATCGGCTAGATTGCTGACGACAGCACTCCGTATGAGAGAGTTTGTATCGGCGAATGTCAAAGAGTTGAAACGGGAACTATTGGCCATAAGCTGTTTTGGGATTCCACGCTGGAATGCAACGAATTAGAAGCATCTAGCGAACTGCTATCGCTAGGTGTCACACTAGGTCGACTGATATTTGGCGGGTTTATGACAAAGGATTCACCGTAATCTGCCACGGATGACTCATTCAGTCTTTGTGGCGAAGGCGAATGTAGCCCCAAAATGTCGATAGACAGTAACTCCTGCTCAGTGTCTTGGTCTGTTCCAGCTCTAAGGGAAGAAGATAAACAAGCACTTCCCATCATCCTCATATCAAGGGCTGCAATCCTGCTGTGATCTGTAAAGGTTAGATTATAAGCTGCAGGAGTCGTTGTTAGCTGGGAAGAGGATATTGACTGTCGCAGGAGACTAGAGGAGAGATTGATACTAGTGTTTTCGGGCATCTGTAAACATACCTGAGGTATGATCATTGGTCGCACCCTGAGTGAGATCTAGCGTAAATCTCACGTCAACTGAAGCATCATTATTCTTCTGATTCTCTCTGGGCCTTACTCGCCAGCTATCTCTCTTCTCGTTGTTTCCAAATGTGCGTGCGTGCTGTGTGCTCGTCCTTAACGTCTGTCTTAACGCTCTATCTATGCTCGTCGCAATTCTTTTTTTCTCTAGGTTTAACTCTCGAAGCAAACGCTGCCGTTCAGCTTTGGTATATCCATGTCTTTCGAACTTTTTCCTACATGATTTCTCCCAGTGCCTTGTTAGAGACCCTAACATCTTGTGGCTTTTGTGGCAACTGGGACAACGAGGCCTTTCTTCCTTTGTATAAGCCGAATCTGACCGAGGCTTAAGTTAGATGTGTTGCTTTTAATATGGTTTAGTCACTTACGGTCAAAATAGTGCCGTAGTAGATTATATTTCGATGTATACTGCCTTGTGTGGGTGCAATTCGGAAAAGGGCAAACATATTGGATTTCATTGTCGGATTCACTGGATTCAGCGCCTGTTGAGCGTGTCCGGTGCCCTTTGCTTTCCGAAGGCAAAGCCGATTCTTCATACAGGTGGTCATTGTGGAGGTGTTGGATGAGCTCTCCTGGGCTTTCGCAATGCTTGAGGCAATTTGGGCAGTCCCAGACCGCCATTGAATGATATGTGATAAGTCGCTGCTGTATGAATGAGACTGGGAGAAGTCTTGAAGCTCTATTTGGTAACTGTAGGGAGCTGGCCTCTTTTTAGTCCTAGGTGCGCCATCTGTGCGCCTGAGTAGCAACTTAAATGATTGGATATCAGACCCCAGATCGACCAGAGATGAATTGGGTAAGCTAAAGAAACTGCTTCTGCTCTGGTGGTAGACCCTCGACCCTGAAGTGCCATCAGAGACTGATCAAAGCAACAACTATTCATTCCCGGCACGGACCGTGCCTTGCTGAAGATCCACCACTTAGCATGTTTGCTAGGATAGATGTTTTGGTATATCCCCACTATCCTGCATTTCTCAGCGCTCATCCGTTGACTGGGCGCCTATTTGCAAAGAGCTACAGTGGTTTAGCAGCCACAATAGTAGTCTCAGAGGGAGACCTAAGTTGACGACCAACATTTTAAGCGCCAACACGTTTCATGACATAACGTCTCCGCTGCTGAAACAAGGAATGGACGCCAATTCTTCCCCAGTCCAATGTTCCGAGCTGAGGCCAAGAAGTTAATGGACGACACCTGCCACTCTCGATGACTATGGTTAAACTCTCTAGGAATCTTTGGGAACTCGGTAAGCGAAAAGTATATGCGAAACCTCGTGTTCCCTACTTTTCTCAGAACATGAGATTCTTTTCATGTTTTCGTCCGGATGCGCGTCAGGCAACAGCTCGCAACCCCGAGATTTATCTGGAAAGACAGAACGGCACAGGTGACTTTTCCAGGTATCATCGCATAAATTGGGCACGTTGAGTGATTGACGCTGTTCTCACAGAACATAGAATCCCCGAAGAAGACTTGTATCGATACACCAGACACCGATGGCTGTAAGCAAATTGGCTCGTCATCTCAGTACAGCGACTCATTCAGGCGCAAATACAGATTCAACGAAGAAAGTGAACTTGCAAAACGCTATCTGAAATTCAATTTACAGCAACTTCTCGACGTCGCAATTAATGTTTGTGATGGGGCCCAGTATTGTGGGTTCTGGTCGCATCAGGACCAGAGATCTAATTGCTAAAACTTACTCAAGGTACTAGAATCACCAAATGTGCGGAAGGTCTGCATAATAAAGCCTTCATCTTGAAAATGGATAATGGGTCGGAGGTCTTCGCGAAACTCCCAAATCCCAATGCCGGACCTGCGCATTTCTCCGTTGCCTCCGAGGTCGCCACACGTGAGCTGGTAAGATGTTCGGTGCCATTTGGCTGTTATCATATCGCTAAAATCAATAGCTTCGTGATGTGTTCGATATTCCTGTTCCTCGGATATTGTCTTGGTCTTCCGATGCAGCAAGCAATTTAGTTGAGGCCGAATATATCATTGAGGAAAAGGCCCCTGGCGTACGACTGGGTTCTGTCTGGAATCGATGGCCTCGGGAGCTGAAGCTGCAACTAATCGCTCAAGTGGTTGACATGGAAAACAAATTGACCACCATTTGCTTTGACAAGCACGGTTGCATTTATTTCAAAGAAGACTTGCGCTCACTTGTCGGAGAAGCGGAAGACATCCATGCACACACTATTGAATCTGACGTCTTCGAACGGTTTTCCATTGGGCCGTTGACCACGAACGAACTGTGGAGTGGGACTAGGAAGGACATGAAATTGGATCGTGGCCCTTGTAAGTAGGTGGATTATCGGATTCCCATTCCGTTGTTTCTCATATTTCTTCTCTCTTGTGCAGGGAAAGATGCGTTTGAATACACTCGTGCAATCGGCCAGAATGAAATGGCGTGGATCAAGACACATGCTGTTCCTCGAATGAACTATTACCGGTCGAACCAGAACAGAGAACTTCCCGAAGATGGTATCTCACTCTTGGAGAAATATATGGATGTCTCCTCCTATCTTGTCCCCCAGTCAAGCGATGAACCGTCTTCTATCAACGTTCTTTGGCATCCGGACCTTCACTTGGATAACATTTTCGTGGATCCAGATACTTATCGGATCACCCGCATCGTGGACTGGCAGTCAGCGTGCGTTGCTCCCTTGTTCTACCAAGCTGGCGTTCCCACAATGTGTAGACATCCTCGACCTGTCCGGGAAGGCTGGGTCGTCCCTGAACGACCAGCGGATTTTGAGAGCCTGAGTAAAGACGAGCAGAAGCGGATTAACGACGATTTGGAGAGCGAAACCATCCACAAATACTACGAGGCGCAGGTGTGTAAACGAGCGCCTCTTCACTGGGCTGTGCTCCAGCAACCGGCAATCCCTATCCTCCGGAAACCTGTTTGGCTCGTGAGCGGAGTATGGGAAAACCGCGACCTTTTCTTTCTTCGCGAAGCACTCATGAACATTGCAGCTCACTGGAGCGAGTTTTTCCCAAACGCCCCTTGCCCGATAGGTTTCAGCAGCGAGGACACCGAGCTCCACTCCAAGGAAGAAGAAAACATCAAAGGAGTTGGGCATATGTTGTTACTGTTCCGAGAGCAAGCTGTACTCCCTGTGGATGGGATGGTTGAACCTGAAGACTACGATCTGGCCCGTGAGAACAATCGTAAGTTCAAAGATACCTTCATCGGGCTGGCGAAGGATGAAGAAGAAAAGGAGCTGTTCAAGAATCTATGGCCTTACCAAGAGTCTGGGAAGTATCTGAGATTCAACCACTGTGTATTTCATAAGGTGTTCAGAGAAGTTTGGTTGACATATATTATTCGAGGCAAAAATTCAGCGCTGGAGCATGCTCCTAGATGACGTGGCGGACCCCTCCACATCGATTAGTTCTCTGAGGGTGTCATGGCATTGCTGGCTATCCAAGCTATGCTCATGGCCCCTGGCCTCGGCTTCAGGTAGTAACGTTCGCCAATGTATATCGCTTCGGACAGTCAGGGGTGGTACATCTCATGGTAGACTTCGAGGTCGCGCGCCACAAGAGCAGCCTGACGGCGAGAACGGCGATCTGCCTATGACAGGCCTCCAAGTTCGTTGGCGGCAAGTGATGGACTCTACTTGTGCATATTCGAATAGCTAATATTTATAGACGTGGTAACCTGCATATCGCTTCACCGAGGGGTCGAGCTAAATGGAAACGTCCATCCATGCATTCATCTGTTCCTGTGTGTCAGAGTTATGAGTGCCAGTTGAACCCCGAACTGTAGTCATGTCGATCTCACTAGATCAGATCAATATTCGTGACTTAAACACCACTAGTGGAAGATGAATGCCACTTCGGGTGGTCTCACCCAGATTCTCACCCTGTCTATTATACGTCCACCATTCTCACCACCCCTCTCACCCTAGGTCGAGCGGCGCTAAAGCAGTGTTCACCCTTTCGCCACCCTGGCTAAACCAACTGATTGTTAGCATGTGTATGGAACATGCGGCTTATGTGAGATCAAGGGTGTCTCGCCAAGGCCAGAAACAGGTGAGCGCCATCTTATGGCCGCGCGACACGGAGGTGATAGAAATTGAGAGAAGCAAATGTGCAATAGACAGGCTGAGAACATGGGCGAACATGGCCCTCGCCTCGAAGATAACTGAGGATTAACAATCTTGAGAGCTTAGAGTCTTTACTGTGAATTGCCGTTCGTGTAATTGACATATATAACGCGAACCACCAGCATTGAAGATGATACCCGGGCCGCTCGAACCGCCATGATGACTCTCGATTGCGCCAAATACCCTCAACCTTGCTGGCACTATTCACCAGTGGCTCGCTACAATCCCGGCGGTGAATTTGTCACTTGTCAATATAAGGAGCCACCTGACCGGACTCGGCCCACCGTTCAGGAGTACAACGATGAACGTGACAGAAGCAAGCTACAAAACTGTGACGAAGGCAATAAAGGTCAAGGCGCTGCAAGATCGCAGTTTATCCGCGCGGTGGACGCAGACGAGAATCAAGCAGCCGGTCGGTTGTTTCAAAGAAAATGCGCCAAGAGGGCGCCATCTCGTGATGTCGATACCTCGTACAGCGACCAGCCCCCAAGAAATGGGGGAAACCTGTGGACGCAGTGGGTTCTGGTTAAGGCTGTCTTTACTAGGCAGGTGTATTCGATTTCGTGGTCAGCGCTCGTGGACCCTGGGGACAGTGATGATGGCCTGAAGATCAACCGGTGCCAGCCAAATTTTGGCGACGGGAAAGATCATCGAGGGTTCGCTCTCCTAAATCGTGACTCATGGTTCGACCGGAACCCATGGGCAAAAGACTACACCGCGATGTACAACCCCCAGAGAAGCGAAGCGTCGACGTCCATCCTGACGATATCATTGTGATTGAAGCCAATTCTAGCCGGAAAGCAACCGACACAGAGCTGAAACAGTACTTCGGTCTTGTACGGTGCTCCGATGACTGCTCCAGTGAAATGCAAGAGATAGACCTGGAAGCCACATCGGCCGTGGTCGTCGCTCCGCCGAAGACACACCCGCATCCGACTTATGCCGAGACAACATCGGGTGGCTTGATCATGGCAGCGAGCCCACGAGCAACAGGGCTGGGGCACCTTCCCACGCCCACTGCAACCAATCTGGCAAGAGAAACATAGCAGGGTGAAAGGAGGAGATTTCAAATCCCATAGATACTATCAAAAGTGATCCCGAAGATTATATGTCATGTAGTAATGGCTGATCAAGTATTAGAGAAACAGTCAACTCCTGAGACCACGATACCATTCTTCCAGTGCCTTTTGGCAGTCTTCTCTGCGGAAGGAGTCCGGCCAACCATAAGATAAATATATTTCCCGCATTTGCTATGCAAATCGGATCAGCAGAGGGATAATAGAGCTTAGAATTAATAACATACATTTGCGCGGCTAGATTTAGGATCACTGTCACTCCACATACGGAGATCTGGCCATGTTTCAAGTCCCTTGACCGGTGGGATCCACTCAAGGTTGATAAAATACTTCTTCCGCTCATTAAGATATTCTGCTAGTGGCATAACTTGGTCATCACACATATCACGCCAGCTGCGGGGGTCATCTGGTGCATAGACAGGATCAAAGTAACTCCCACAAATCTCATAGACTGTGACTGTGCCTATAGCTAGTAAGAGGGCTGTTATTTATAGCAAAGATTAAGAAGAACTAACCATCAGTAGTATCTAGCATGAGATATTTTCCATACTTGCCCTTTGAGTAGGTGAGATTAATCACCCATGGGGGAAACTTGTAATCATCTTCCGGAGGCAAAGGGATATATGCCTTGACATTCCCTTTAATATAATCACAAGCATTTGTCCAAGGGAAGATAATCCATTCTCCACATGAGGAGTCAAGATAAGGTAGATGGCGTAGTAGCTCAATTACCTCATCTGTTTTGTTTAAAAAGGCAAACATATCCTTAGTGATTTGCGGCCATCCTTCGGGAGGCGGATACAGAATGTCATCTGGCTCCACGAAAGGAAGAGTGGTCAAGAATTGATAAAAGTCTGAGACAGCTGCGATAATCTGCTCACGATTGTATATAGATGGATTCTTAAGTCGAGGATCCGGAGGAAGTGACATTGTTGATGAGGATGGTTGATAGATGAAGAAATAAAGAATGAAGAAGACCGTGTTGATGGTGTGTATCACGTGGTTAGTGTTGTGATGAGGGCAGCTGATGATATTAGGCCACACTGATACCTCTCTAATAGAGCACCCAGGGTAGGTGGTTGTATACAAGACCTTTTTAGGAAGTGGTAGTGCTATGATTTTGATTGGTGGACGGCCCAGCAACCACACTAAGCCCAAACAGGGTCAAAGTGGACAACGCGCATTGACGCGTCTTGAACTCTTTCTTCAGTTTTCAACGCCGAGTGTAGGCCAGACCTCGCAACCCAGTTCCGCATACACCCGAATCGAAGGAAATGGCCGTGGCCTCTACTGATGAAGTTGAGAATACTCCGTCTCACAGGCGCAGTGCTCGACAACGAGCCCAATTATGGATGACCAAGGGTGGTCTAGTGCGCGATGATTCCGACGACGAGCTGGGAGATGAAGATCTTCCATGGCATTGGATTTATGAAACCGAAGAAGAAGAAGATACCAAAAACGGAGAAACGACCCCCGCCACCGATGAGGCCGATGCAAAGTCGGCTCGCAGACGCGCAGCTCGCCCTAATGCGAAGCACCGACGGAATATCACAGGGGCACGGATGGGTTCCTTTGAGTGTCGGTTGGGTCAAGTCGTGCTGCTCAAATCTCCGGAACCGGGAAAGGATTGGGTCGGCATCATTACTGAGTTTCTAGAGGAAGAAGATGAGGAGGCAGAGGATGGGGTGGTCAAGTCGGTCAACGTCATGTGGTTTGCGTCCCCGGATGAGTTCATGTCGACCAAAAACAAACGAAGGGCGGACGCTTTGCCGAACGAACAATATCTGACAGCAGATTTCAATGTCAACCCTATCACGTCGATCAATGGGAAAGCTGCCGTGATGTCCAAGGACGCTTTCTTCGCCAGATATCCGAACGGCACGCCCCCAAAGGGCAAGGAGGAATTGGCCGAGTTCAACAAATGCATTATCTGCCGGAGAGGTGTAAACCAGCTTCAAGGCAGATATACTGACGAATTCATTTGGGAGGACGTGTACCGGGAGGATAAGATCCACGACCTCATTGCCATGGTCAAGGAAGGGTTGAAAGCGGCCAAAAAGCGCAAGCAAGTCGATGACGATGTAAGTCCCTTCTGCTCGCGTGAAAAATGGCTGCTGACGGAAATGTACTCAGTACCTTGATACGAAAGAGGACGATGATTTTGCTCCCTCTACACCTCGAAAGAGGCAGAAAGTAGCCTCGAACGCTACTCCACAATCGCGACGCAAGAAAGCTCTGACTACCCCGTCGCACAAGAGGTATGAAGTCATGTCTGACGATTCTGGGGCAGAGTTTGACAAGCTGCTCAATAGGATCGTCGTTAAGAAGCCGTTAGAGTTTACACCACTTGGAACTCGTGTTTTGCCTCCTTCTCATTTCGATTCACCTTATCGCCAAGCACGTACCCTACTGCATGTTTCGACCGTACCTACATCACTTCCTTGTCGAAAGGCAGAATTCGACACTGTTTATAATCATCTTAGTGCAGCAATCATGGAAGGAGCTGGTACCTGCATTTATATTTCGGGAACACCAGGGACTGGCAAGACAGCTACAGTACGTGAGGTGGTTGCGCAGTTGAATGCTGCTGTTCTCGCTGAGGAAATGGACGACTTCATCTTTGTTGAAATCAACGGAATGAAAGTGACTGATCCTCATCAATCTTATTCACTGCTCTGGGAAGCGCTCAAGGGTGATCGCGTTTCTCCTTCCCATGCGCTTGATCTTCTCGAAAGGGAATTCTCGCATCCCTCCCCCAGACGAGTGTCATGTGTCGTTCTCATGGACGAGCTTGACCAGTTGGTCACAAAGAATCAATCCGTCATGTACAATTTCTTCAACTGGCCTGCCCTTCGCCATTCACGACTTATTGTCCTTGCTGTGGCAAACACCATGGATCTGCCAGAGAGGACGTTGAGCAACAAAATCTCCAGCCGTCTCGGGTTGACTCGCATTACGTTCCCTGGTTATAAGCACACGGATCTCATGGAGATTATCAGCACCCGACTGGCCAATGTTCCGGGAAATATCGTTGATGCTGATGCCATTCAATTCGCTAGTCGAAAAGTAGCTGCTGTCAGTGGAGATGCTCGACGTGCATTAGACATCTGTCGACGCGCTGTGGAAATTGCAGAACAGTCCAACGAGGCTGCAAAGATCGACGATTTGAATGCGGAACAGAACGGAGACGACAACGAGTCCCTGCCCCCTACACCCAGTAAAACCCCAGCACGAAGACAGAAATCTACTAGCAAACAAACAGTCAAGGTCGAGTCACCTGAAAAGAACACAGCACAGAAGCAGCTCGCGGGGCGGGTCACCATCGCTACAATCAAGCAAGCCATCCAAGAAGCCACCTCCACCCCACTCCAGCAATCACTCCGCTGCCTTCCGCTGTCCGCAAAGCTCTTCCTCGCTGCTTTACTGGCCCGTGTTAAACGAACCGGTATTACAGAGTCAACGTTCGGCGATGTGATCGACGAAGCCAAGAGAATCGCCGATGCAGCGGTTGCAGTCGCCGGCTCAGCCGGCGCAGGCATCAAGGATTTATTGCTCGCTGGGAACAACGGGGCGCGTGTGAGAGCTCTTGGCTTTGCCGCAATGGAACTCATGAACTCTGGAGTCCTTGCCTTAGAAAACGGGGCAGGAGTCAAGGGACCTCTAGGCGGTTCTGCCATTCCGAGCAGAGGCGACAGAAGCGGGAAAGTGAGGCTTAGGGTTGCACCAGAAGACGTTCGAGCCGCGTTCCGGGAGGACATTGAGGCGAAGGGATTGGGATTGGGTATGGACCAGTAGGGGTCCGGACTTGCATTGGTTGGCGTACCCAGGTATTGATCTGTGACTGTCTGTACAAGGACTGATTTGATAGCAAAGATACCCTTTAACTCGTTTTGAAGTCTATGATCAAGCAGCAAGATTCAGAACCATTATAATGTGATTGATCGATCCTACGCAGTTCAAGTGCATATCATACAACCAGAAAATATCTTTTGTAAATTCCCCCATGACCTTGTAGTAACATCAATCTGGAACAAACGCTGAACTCCCATGTACGACAAAAGAACAAAACAACAGCCCGATTCTGCATTCAGTTCAAGGGTATAAAGATGACATCCACGGCCTAAACTAATATCTCTGTCTGCCAAGGGTCGGTGCCCAAGTGACAGGGTGAGACTCCGGCGTCGCCTCGTCGTCCGGTTTCCAGACCTTGATGGTCTTATCGGCCTCTCCGGTGATCAAACGCAAGCCGGTCCGATCGAATGTAGCAGCCATGATACCGGCTTCGGCGTCCAGAGAACCCGGCTGGGCCATGGTGTCGATGGACTGGAACTTGTAGCCTGTCTTCCAGTCCCAGAAGCACATGGAGCCGTTATCACCACCAGAGAAGAGGACATTGTCCTCATTCACGGCGAGGGAGTTTATGACGGCGTTGTGGCCCTCGAAGTTCTGCATGAAGTCTCCCTCGGGACATTTCCATTGCTTGATGCTCCCTGTGCTGGCGCTGGCGAATGTGAATTCTCGCGGGTGGATGGCGAGGTTGCGCACGCCCTTCTTGTGGTGCGTGAGAACACCCATGGACTTCCCGGCTGCAAGGTCCCACAGGCGGACTGTAGCGTCGAGAGAACCGGTAATAATCTGTGGGTCGGCTTCCTGGCATTTCACGTCGGCGACGGTGCCCTTGTGGCCCGCCAGAACGTGGACATTGCTTCTTGTCCGCATATCCCAAACTCGGGCAACACCGTCTCGACCGCCAGTCACCAGAAGATCGAGGCGCGGGTGTAATGCGAGAGTATATACTCCGCTCAGATGACCGTGGTAGTGGCGGATGACCTTGTTTGTTTCCAGATCCCAGCACTTGACCATTTTGTCTTCACCACAGGAGAAGAGGTACGGATGTCGTGGAGACACGGCCAACCCGCGGACGGTAGAGATATGGCCCGTGAGCGTCAGACGAAGAGCACCTGTCGCAAGATTCCAGATCTTGATTGTTCTGTCACCAGCACCGCTAGCAAACCATTCGTTGTTCGGTTCCACTGCCAAACTCCGCACCCATCCCAGATGTCCCGAGATCACTCTCATCAGCTTCCAAGGAGGATGCCAGTCAGGTCTCTGCTGTCGCGTAGCCGAGGGCCTCTGAATCAGACTCTTCGGTTGATCTTCACCACCCACTCCGCCCGCGGCCGGTCCAGCAGCCCTTTTCACGAGTGACATCGAGGCGCCGCTTCCGTCTGCTTGTGGTTTCGTTTGCGCTTGGATCTTTGGGCGCTTCGCGCGACCTGCCGCTGCTGCTTTCGCTTGCTTCTCGGCGAGAGCTGGAGGTAATTCCTTCACGTCTGAGTATTCCGCCTTTCGTCGGTAGGACAGTCCGATCGATCCATCGGCGACACTGGGTGTGACCATGAGGTATTCGGAGCCGAAAAGTTCAGCGGTTCGCTTCGCGGACCTGCGGACGGCTTCGTCCGGTGTGGTAGAAGGTATGACGTCCATGATATCCCAATGGTAGAAATCTTAGACAATTCCACAAGTCCGAATGATTGTTCAGGGCGGTGCTGGTGTCAAAGATTGGCGCAGATCGCCGGAGAGGACGTGTTGTACGCGTCTTGAACCCTGTTTGAAGGCCTAACCGTTGGTAGAATTTGCTTGAGTAAAGTCACCGCATCCGTAATATGCTAGACAAGGAAAGTGACTGTGGCAGAAAGGTGCAAAGGGCGAGGATTGAGAAGCGATGGTCAAGGTAGTAATTTCACGTTAGTGCCAGAGTCCAGTCACCTCCGATTTGCCTTTCGGCGGAGAGCTTTGCTGAGCGCCTGAGGCATCAAGATGGATTTCAGGTGTCAACAGCTCCCCCTCCAGAGCTTCTCGCCAGTCGCCATACTCCACACTTGTCGGGACAGACCAGTACAGCATCATGGAACCAAATCAAGAAACGAAGTTTCCTCTGCATGAGGCAGCTAGAGAAGGCAAAAGTACTTCTGTCGCTTCCTGGAAATATGTGACTTCAGGAGCTAACTTGCGACAGCTCCGACTGCCGAGTCGCTATTGAATGTAAGTGCTCGGAAAGCTGCCCCGCAGCATATAGATCATCCCCAATGTCAATCACTCGGTCTCAACAACGACGTGACTGCCCTTTTGCTTATCGATGCGGATTTGATTATAGGCAAACCCAAAACTTGCTACGGTCAAAGATGAGGACGAGCGTCTCCCCATCCACTGGGCCGTTGCGTTCAATCACCTTCCCATAGTAGAGCTCTTAGTAGCTCAGAAGAACTTCGATCCGGACGTGGAGGTCAGTTGAACTCGCGCACATGACTTGATGGGCTGCTAATTCTCTGCTAGGATGGATCAGGATGGACTCCGCTCATGATCGCAGCGAGTCTGAAGAATGCAGAAGGTGACCCCATCATCGACCTGCTACTACGCAAGGGAGCAGACGTCAACGTCAAGAGTGTCTCCGGCCAGGTACGTGTCAAATATCTCCAGATCCGACTACTAGATGCTCATGCGCGCTTGCTTCAATCAGAACGCCCTCCATTTCGCAACATCCAAAGGCAACCTCTCCACCGTGCGCACGCTATTAACCAACAAATGCAGTGCCAGAGTCAAGGACAGAAGAGGGCAGTTACCACTTCACCGCGCTGCGGCGATTGGATCCATCCCTATCATCAAACTTCTCTTGGAGGAAGGAAAAAGCCCCGTCAATGCTACCGATATCGATGGCTTGACGGCTCTGCATCACGCCATCTCCGAGGGTCATGGGGATGCGGCGATCACATTGCTCAAGGCCGGTGCAGAGGCCGACAAGAAGGATTCGGATGGTCGTCTGGCTATTGATATGGCGCCTGATGCGAAGGTGGGTTGTCGGTGTTCTCAGGTGGCCGAAGTATAAATGAGCTGACATTCGTCTCTTCTAGGTTAAGAAATATATCGTTCAGACTGCTGAGAGAGAGGGTATTGAACTTTGATTTGAACGTTGGTAGAATATCCTACTGGCAGAGCGAGGAATGTGTAACATGTATCGGATATTCAGGGCCTCATCGCTCATCTCCACGAATGAGAATGGGGCTTAAGCCTAAAATGAATGTTGAATGCTCTATCAGGGGGCACCCTGTATACACATGATCTAGTAGAGAAGTTCTCAAGGGAAGAAATATATACACAAGAAAGGAAGAAATGAAAAGGGATAGTCAATGGCTCTTCCGAAAAGGGACCAGTCGGAGGAAAAGGCCTTATTTCATGGTGCTATCGACCAACTCCCGATATATCTTCTTGAGATCAGCGATATCAGCCTGAAGCTCTTCGACTTGCTCGCTTTTCTCACCAAGCAGCTCCAGAGTTGTTTGATAGCGCTGGTCCAAGTCTTCAAGTTTTGTCTCCAGTTCCTGCACGCGAGCATCAGAGGCCTTCTTCTCCTCTGACTCCCGCATGAGGTCAACAACCTGCTTCCGAGCCTCGTCACGTTGCCTGGTGATCCGTGCAAGTTCGTCCTTGGCAGCGGCTCGTTCGCTCTCTAAGCGGCGAACTGTAGCGCTCATGCGCTCAACCAGCTGAACAGATGGCCCAGCGCCGACAGTCGACTCCGAGATGATGTCGTTGATGCCTCGAGAATGATGACTCGGGGCAAATCCATAAGCGGACGGGGTAGCTGGTGTGGCTGAGCCGCTGAAGAATTCGTCCGGCTCGAAGGTGATGACCGGAGACTCCATGATCGGAGGATTTGACAGGCTTGTTGACATCGGCGGGGATAGTACCGGAACAGGAAGGGAATTCTGGCGCGGGGGAGTGCCCATGTCTGATGATGCCGTGAGGAGCGTTGAAGAACGGCGACTCGTGGGCCTGTAGTCAGGCAGAGATGCCCCAATTATCTCAAGGTTGCTTGGTCTGCGACTGAGAGCAACAGGCGACTGGGTACGCAGTTCTTGGAGTGAATTTTGAGTAGACAGTGCCTGTTCCCGCCACTTCATCCGCTCGTCCTCAAGTTTCTGAGCCCATGTCGCATCGCACACCTTCTTCTGCTCAGCGAAGTCTTTCTGTGCAGCAACTAAGTCGTCTTCTGCTTTTCTGAGTTTTTGACCCAGCTTCTGAATTTCTTGCACATGCCCTTCAAGTTTGCTCTCTAGATCGTGCTCGGTCTCCTTGGCATTTTCAAGCTCTTCCTCAAGCCTCTTCACTTTGAGATTCTATGTCGATGTTAGCCAGCAATTGAGACTGAGTACAGGAATGAAGGCCGTGCTCACCACTTCACGCATCTTCCGTCGCAATTCTCCTTCTCGCCTTGCAATGTCGTCCCGTTCTTTTTCCACATTGGCTAGCCTTGAAAGTAGTGAACCCTCGAGGGTCTGCCAGTTCTCACTAGCCACTGCGTACTGCGTTTGTAAGGTCTCGACCTGGCGTAAGAGTTTGGCCTGAGCATCACTGGTAGAACCGGAGGAGGCTTCTTCTGCTTTCGAGCGAAGCGACTCCATTTTACTTTCCAGGATAGACTGCTCCCCCTTGAGCTCGGCCTCAAGTATCCTAGCCTTCTCCTTCTCTTGCTCTATGCCTTCCTTAAGATCGGCAACCTCCCTCCTTAGTTTTTCCTCATTAATCTCGCGCTCAATCTTGACGCTTGCAAGTTCCTCTTCCAAGTGAGTTGTCCGCTGCTTCTCCTTTTCCAAAGCATCTGACACGGCTTTGGCCTCGGCTGCTTCGGCACGCGCAACCGCTCGGGCGAGTTGTGCCTTCATCTCTTGAACCGTCTGGGACAATGCGTTCCGCTCATTCGTGACCGCCTCGAGGTCCCGTGCGACCTTTGTCTGGGAGGATAGTGACTCGCTCGCCCGTTTCTCCGCAGCCTCAGCACGCTTTGCTCTAGCCTCAAAGTTCGCCAGGTCCCGTTCGAGTTTTTCTGTTTTCTTCCTATTCTCCATCTGTGTCTTCGAATTATCTGCCAGCTGTTGTCGGAGCTTCTTGATCGCCGTTCGATGGTCCATCTCTGACTTGGAGAGCTTTTGCCCTTCCTCAAGCAGTAGCGCAATCTTTTCGTCCTTCTCATGGAGGAGTTTCTCGGCACTCCCGGGCTCAGCGGTTGCCGCAGCTTTCCTAGCAGACTCTGCGGCTTCTTTGGCCAGGTACTTTAGCTTGGATTGTAGCGCATCGATTCGTTCAATGTACAAGTGCAATTCCTCCTGCCGGCGGGACTCCGCTGCCTTGTGCTCTGCCTGCAGCTGCGCAATAGCTGGATTATCGCTATTTGTATCCGTTGCGGTGTCTGCCGCCGCTTGTTTTAAGTCATGCGATACTCGCGGGCTCTCGAAATTGCCGGTCTCATGTTGCTCTGGTATGCCTAGATCTTGCGAGGGACGTTGTTCGATTCCTATAGACTCTTCGATAGGCACTATCTCGTCAATATGCGATGCGACGAGCTCCTTGGAATTCCGCGAAACAACTCCAGAGTCGTAACTTGTCCTAGAGTCTGCCGGTAGTTCGAGTGAGCTTGCTTGTCGGACAAGCGGGCTATCCGGGCGTTCTTCTGCGGCCCCTGTAGGTGAGACAATACTTGATTCGATATCTAAACTCGACCGCGTGCCGTTACTCGGTACGGAACTGGCTGGCGAAGAGACCCTGCTCGGAGGTGACTGCGACACAACATTCCCGACAGCATTTGATTTGACCATGGCACGAGCCAAGCGTTCCTGTAGACGATCATTTTTGCGCGCATTGGATGAGCTCCGCGAAACAGCTGGAAAGCAATTAGCCACGCGATCCTCGAGACTCCCGTGAGGACATTCGGAGACTCCATACTGCTTGTAGTCAGGTTGGGACTTGTCGCCTGTTGTCCTAAGCTCTCATTCTGCTTTGACTTGACCGATGTGGACCTTGTCAACGGTTTCTGGTCCTCCTCCTCAGCCAAGATCATATCCAATCTGGATTCCACGCCGGCGACTGCCTGCTGCAGAAACGAGCCGACTTTCCATTTCGATTTCGATCCTTGCGTATTCTGTGCCATGGTGTCGTAGACAGCGAATGAGTTGGCGTTTTCCCTTGATCAGGTCAGCTACTCGCTAGCAGCAAGTCACCTATCCGTTGTCATGGAAGGCAGCAGTTCCGGGTGACGATGATGCGATCTGATGTCCCTTTGTCGTCACAGGTCCGATGAAACAGTTGAATAGATTGCGAGAGATTAATGAGAGTCGAGAGCAAAGTAATGAACGAATGACACCAAAAAAGAAACCATAAGGCAGAAGGTTAATGCAAGAACCACTCAATCTCCACGTTAATCAATACTAAAGCGACTGCGTGCTTGCGTAGACCGAGAGCGGCCTGAGGAGCCAAAACGTGGACTGCCCGCCTCTTGGCATTACCTGATGGGATGGGGAACTCCATCTATCAACGAACATCGTCATAACCTCACAGGTTCCCTTATCATTGTATTTCCCCATCCCTTTCTTGCAGTGAAGACGTCGGGTGAGCTCCATCTAGAATCCCAGACGGACAGACAGACAAGCATCATGTCGTCAACGCCTCTGGAGCCTCCGACTTATTTGAGCTCCTTGCAGAACAACATTCGAGCTCGCCCGATCCCGTGGGAGGGAGCTGTCCGAGCTGGCAACATCACCGACGACCATCTGAAGAAGATCAAGGCGGTGGACAAGGTCCGCAAAGAGCAACGCCGTCAAACCGTTGAAGGCGATCTTCAGGGCTATGTTGGTCTGCTTGCTGGCCATGCCGATAGCAAGAGTGTCTTGGATTCGGCTTCCAGGAGGACCGATATTGTACAGTACATCCTAGTGCTGGCGGCGGACTTGATTAACGGTAATGACATATTTGCCCTCTACATAGAAATATATGCGCTGACAATCATTTCTATACCGCAGATGTCCCCTCACTTTCCTCTGCATTGATCGCGCATCCTAGTCCCTACAAGCCCTTCCTCCCGCTCCTGCGCCATTCGACCAACGCCGAAGATCCGATCCCGCTCCTCACCTCCACATTTTTGACGAGTCTTGTCTCTCACAGCCTTGGTGCTTCAACCAAGGCAGCCGTTCGCGATGAAGAGGCGCTTCCTCAGTTATACACCTATCTTTCCACCCTGACTCAGAACCAAGACAGCGGGCTGCAGGATATCGGAGTTCAGGGGCTGTCGGCATTGCTACGGAATTCAAGATCACGGGAAATGTTCTGGGATCAGAGGAAGGAAACTATCGATCCCTTGATCGAGATTCTTCGTGCTGCTGCGGGAGCAAAAGACAGTAGTAGTTCGAGCACTCTAGCGGGCAGTTCGAGAGCTATTGAGCCCGGCCTCTCTGGTGGTGTCGGCCTACAGCTCTTGTATCGCGTCCTCTTAGTTCTCTGGCAGCTGAGCTTTGAGGGAAGCCTTGTTGGAGAAGGCCTACAGTCGTACGTTCACCATCTAACATGGCGAAGCAGGAAAGCAGTCCGTGGCTAATAATTAATTTCCAGTGATTATGAGTTTATCCAATTATATACCCACCTTCTGCGCCTGTCCCCCAAAGAAAAGACGACTCGTCTGATTCTCGCAACTTTCAACAACCTCCTTTCCAGCAACCGCGCGACTTTACTTCCAGTTGCTGTATTTCTCCGCCTTCCTGCTCTGCTATCCAACCTCTCTGGTCGCCATTTGACCGACCCAGACCTATTGGAGGATTTGAACGCATTGTCTGAGATGCTAGATGAATACACCAAGACACAAACGACATTTGATCAGTACGCCGCCGAGTTACAGTCAGGCCACCTTCGCTGGTCCCCGCCGCACCGCAACCCGACCTTCTGGGCAGAAAATGCCCGTCGGATCCTGGATGAAGGGAACGGCGCGCTGCCCAAAAAGCTTGCCGAAATTCTGTCAAAGAGCTGGGATAACGACAAGCAGGTCCTTGCAATTGGATGCAACGATGTCGGTCACCTGGTGAAAGAAATGCCGGAGAGGCGCGGTCAGCTGGAGAAGCTGGGACTCAAGACTCGAGTTATGGAGCTGATGGCCGACAAGGACGAATCTGTGCGGTGGGAAAGCTTGCGAGCCGTTGGAGAATGGCTCCGTTATACGTTCGAGGGTTGATCGTGTCTTGGATCAGGTTTGATGCTGCAAAGGATTTCCAACCTTTTGAGGTTCGCTTCTGGCGATGTGATAATAGCACCGACGACCTCTAGTGCCTTTCTTGTCTCTATGTGTTCGAGATGAACATACTTATCGCATTCGGGTTGCTTCGCCGGTACACTTCTCTGTCCAATCTGTTCAACTGTACAAACGCCTTCCGTCTGTTGTCACCAGCGGTGCGGATCGGGATTTCATAGATACGTTATACTTGTTCACATTCTCCGGGCTTCACGATTATACAAGGGCTCCAAATATCTAAGTAGATAGTCTTGGATTGTCTTAATTTTGAGTCAAACACTAGTACCAATTCCAGCCCAGGAAAGTTTGAGATGTTTCACTTTCATCGTATTTCACACCCCACATTGATCAGAATGTGTCGAGACTCGAGAGACTCGAGACCAACTGCGCTATCACACACAGCAAGAAAGAGAGAAGTACAGACAGGAGAGGTGAAGCACAAGAAGCTGTTCTGAATCCATCATATCATACCAAAGATGCCCAGATTTTGTGCCAACCAAGACTTGATCGATAACCTCCAGGTGGACCTCGTGTGGATGATCGGCCGCTAAAAGATTCAAACAGAAACCATACACACTCTCAGAGTCTTAGAGTTGAGACTATCTGACCGGGCCGGACATGTGCGTTATCGCTCAATCAAGTCCCACAGATACGACTGACTCCTGGCCATTGTTGACATTGTCTTCATTGCTATGAGCCTCTGTCTGTGTTCTGTCATAACATCTGTCGAACTGGATCCGATCACTTTCTGAAACGAAGTACTATATCTCGATTTACGCATCCACTCCACTGCCTTACAGAGGAGAAACCCCACCGCAGATCATTCCGAGGCTACCCCGGGAAACGGAAGAAAAAGCAGATTTTGAGAACAACGGTGAAAACCGAAAAGTCTCGCCCAAATCCATGTCCAGGTCATTTACTGGTTGTAAACGGTGCAAAGCCAGACGACAGAAATGTGACGAACAGCGACCCGTCTGCGGTCGCTGTCAAGCGGCCGGGGTGCAGTGTCGATATGCGATGCAGCTACAGTGGGGAGGACGGACTTTTTCGCGGTCGAGGTTAGGGGCCTGTTTGGGCAAGGGAGGGTTGCAGAAGCTTGGTATGTCTTCAATGGCTTTTGATTTGGCTTCTTTGGCTAATCGTTCGTGGCCCTGCAGAATACTCCCCCGGCGAATTTATCTACACAACCCAATCCCCCACCGCTGTGTCGAGTACAGCTCTTCCTCGACCCGTTGACCCTTTTGTCTCTCTGTCACCTGATCAAAAGTCGTTGCTTCACCATTTCATCCAGGATGCGTCGCAAATCACGGCATGTCACTCCGGCATGCAGAAGGATATCTGCAAGATGCTTGTCCCGATGGCCCTCCAGACCCCATCATTATTATACGCAACAATGGCGCTGTCAGCAATCCACCTACAAGCTCTAAACAATCAATCGGAGAACGTCAAGTCCGCCCCGGATATTGCCCGGTCAATGGCGCTCAGCCTCGAGCACTTCCGGAAGGAACTACAGAACCCAGGCACCAAGGGGTCGGATGCGCTCCTCGCAACGGCGCGCACGCTCTGTTTAGCGGAAATCCATTCCGGGGCCATCCACCCGAACTCGTGGCGAGCCCATGTCGAGGGCGCAAAGGCCCTTATGCTTGCGACGAATCACAAGGGGAGCGAATCACCGGGTTCGTCGCAGGGTTTCCGTCGATACTTGGACCGGTGGTACCAGTCGATTGTCTCCCTAACAGCACTGACGGGGAACGGGCCGCCCATCGAAGAGGTCACGGAACAGCCAGGCCCCGAGATCATCCGCCAGCAAGACGCACCGGACTATCTCGACGACTACTGGGGCTTCACCGTAAACCTGTCGGCCATCTTCCGCGCAATCGGGGCGGCAGCCTGGCGGAATCATCCCAACACACAAAGAGCAGGCTTGATGTCGGACGACGCTGACGCGGCCCGCGCACAGGAGGCGGCCGTCCTCGAGTCCTCCGTGCGAACGCTCATGGCCCGGAACGCGAGTTCGCAGCCTACGTTCTACCCAGGCATCGCGGAGGGCCTCTCGTCCAAATGCGTGCGGGAATTCATGCTCTGCAACGAGGCGTTCCAGCACAGCGCGCTCATCCAGATCCACCGACGGCTCCGTAGAACGCCTGCCTCCTCGCCCCTCGTACAGCTCTCCGTCAAGCGGATTCTGGAGTGCACGGCGCAGATTGGGCCGTCTGCGGGGCTGAGTCCGTGGACGATGCTCACAACGCCGTTGTTCATTGCGGGCTGTGAGGCACAGGGCGAGGACCGCGAGAAGGTCCGGCAGTTGCTTTCATTGCTGCATGATACCATCCGTGTGCCGAACGTGCTTCAGTCGTTGAAATTCCTGGAACAGTACTGGGCTAACCAGTTGGATGAGCATGAGGGCTGGAGTCAATATCTAGGTAACTTGCTCCTTTCTCGGTATCTAGAGTCAAGCTAACAAGGCCCAGATCGAATGAGGTTCGATTTCATCCCGTATTGATGCCGAAGGGTCTGTCATACGATATGTGTTTATGTCAAGCGAGAAGCGAACGTTTTCAGTCAGTTTATTGTATTGCATTATCGTACAGTGTCTTTGGCGTCTTGGCCTCAGGGCGACAGTATCTTGAGAAGTTCAGATATCCTGGCGTTGGTGGATGCTTCGGTTATATTTTGTGCATTGAATTGATTGTATTCTAACCATATGCCCTCATAACCCATTGACGGATTTCCGTGCCACCTGAAGATCCCGTTTGGAATCTATAACCAGTGAAGGGCGATGATGGTATATCAAGCTTGCTTGATGTGTCGAGGTCAAGCTGCCCAATTTGGGCGACGAATTCCGGTGATACTGCGAACTCAGACTGGTTATCAGCTTCAGGTTCTTTTGGTGTAGCAAATAAAGTCTCCTTGATGAACGACGGGCAGTGAGGAGTTTTTGGGATGATATCCAAATGCCACTTCGCCTACGGCTCAATTAAAACGCTAGGTCATCATGTCTCAAGGTTAGGACTGGCAACGGACGAGGATAAGATCAAGGAAATCAAACAGCTGGACTACCCGCGCCCTGTGTTCCGTTGGGATCCTCCCAAGCCCCTCGAATGGTAAGTGATCAATAATAGTTACGGTCTTCGGTGAAGGTCTTGCGGCTAATAATGACAACCAGGCTGAAGACAGCCTCGAAGTGGCTCTGGGATGGGGCGCTGGCAATCCTCCAATGGCCGGGATGCACCTGCAGTAGCACGCCCAGACACTGCCTGAACTGGAGACCGGCCTTGGTCCCCTTGGATACTACCGCAAATACTGCCTTGGCTACTCCTACAAGCGGAATCCCTCGAGGCATTGAAATTTGCGCCCCTGAAAGGCGCTCCTTTCAAAGGGCCCCAAGCGACGTGAGTACGCTGATACGGACTGCGTACCAGCTGTGATGTCCAAGTGGATAACCATTTCTACTTCTGCTTTGCGTACTGATTCGTTCCCGATGGACTGCAGAGGAGCTGTGGCTTGTTAACAAAATCGGCAGACTTGTCCATCGGGTGGGACATTCATTTTGATACTGACTGTTATCCTTGGAATGCCAGTGTCCGTTACATCTTAGAATTGTACCCTGGCCTGTTGGAACGACAGCAACAGACAGTACTTTGATCGCGTGCTAGAGTCACTGAGATGCCGTTGGCAAAGAATGCAAACGCGCTGTATGACGGCAGGCTCGAGACCTGGACTTTCAGGCGTCTCTGGGAAAGAGAAATAGGCCTGTCAATGATAGAAAGAGGTATACAGTTTGTTGTTAAAAACAGTACTGCAAGGGATCTTGACACCGAAACAATTGCAAGAATCATCTTCATACTGCAATACAGGAGCAATCCGGATACAAAACCTGCAATACCAGATTCGTGGATTCATTCACGAGCATCTGCTGCAGCGGCAGTGAGAAAATTCTTGAAAGAAACTGAGATCTTGTGGGACGATCAACAATGTTTAACGTATTACAATAACTCTCTTCAACAAAACATCGGATAGTGAAGAAACCACTGGGACGACTCCGCGAACTGTGGTAGTTCGAACTTGCTCGGACATTTAAAGTGGCCTGTCCTGTCCGGCTGCAAGATGATTCCCTTGCGCTTCGGTGAACGGTGAGGTTAGGCATCGCGCTCGATAGAGGAGCAAAATTCCAGCAGGATTATGCTTTTCGAAACCTGGAGATCCCGATCAATAAGGGCATACTACCCATGTTAGGGTAGTACGTGCGAGCGATGAGCGATGATTCCGTTGATGATGATCAACTAGCTACTTCGACAAGCAGTCCCTGATCACCTGGTGTCATCTCGTGCATGGTTGTAGCACTCACGTACTGCCATAGCTGCAACCAACTTGGGATATCTGTCCGAGATGCTCTTCCTGGGCATGCGTTGCTGGTCCAAGTCGTCTGCCGGCTGTCCTTCTAGGCAATTGGATCTGCAGCTCGATGGTGAAGCGTCCGAAGATTGCTCACTGAGCTTACGCTTCCCTTGCGGGAACTCATTGCAGACTAAAGGCAGAGCTTTGATTTTCGTGGTCCTCATGTCTGTGGGGGTGTGACTCGCATCCAGTCAAGATTCAACAGATGGACATTGATGATCTCCAAGGGCCTTCACATTTCAAGTGCAAACTTTGACATGTTGACATTTTGGTGATACCCCGAGAAAGGGATGTGTGGAGTTTGTTGTAGTGTCTCATGTTGTCTGGTTCTGTGGCCATGCCTTCGCCATAGTTAGAGAATAGGGTTGATGTGAACGGAGAGGATTAAGGACTACTACTTACCCATGTTGCGACAGGTCTGTCCTTGGCGGAAGAACAAGACACACAGCACAGTCTGACAAAGACTGCACTGATAGGTCTTTGGTCTTTGATCCATGGGTTGATCGTGAGATTTCCGAGCCGTTATCCCAGAAATTCAGTATTCCGTACAGCCTGATGATCGCTAAAGGAGCCTCGCAGTGACATCATCCTCACTGCGTCCCAGCCACGACCCACAGAATGAGAGCAGGATATGGAAGAATCACTGCTCGCACCCTTGGTTGAACAGGAAGCTGAAATATGAGACGGGATGTTTGGTCATGATCAAGAGCTTGTCACGTCTACCCGGTGGTCGGTGCGGCCCTTATGAGTCGAGCAACCTGCGCACCATACCAGTGAATTCCACCAGACGAACACATATACCTTTCTGACTCTGGTCGTGTGATATCTCTTGGGCATTAGCTAAAGACTGTTACTACCTACTGTCACCATAGATCGGGAAGGTTAACATACCATTGATCTTCTGGAATGGAACTCTGATTGTACTCTCACAATAAGGTACTCTCGAGTTCTTCCTGAGACTCGATTTCATTCTGCAAGGCATCATTGCTTCCCCCTTCCCCCTCCATTTCCTGGTCTGCCTGCGGGAGTTGGAGTTGTTCTTCGTGTGCTGGCTCATCTCCCCCAATAGTGCGTGCCGCACCGGTCTGTCCAACCTCAGATGGCGTGGCCAAGAGCTGGCAATGACCCCAACTCCACCCCCAAAAGTCAGGACCAAAACCCAATTCTTGGAGTCGAGCTATCCAGAGAAAGGAAACGAGTTGCCAATTTCCTCAAGATGAGGAAGGTCATGCACTATAGTCTGTTCAAGAGTGCAAAAGCTTCCTCGATATCAGGTTTGACGCTTGGTGTACGTCTGCACCAATACTTGATGTTCTGGAGACTGTAGCCAGGCTTGAGGCTTCCTAGAGGGCTGTGGCACTGTCAAAGGAGTTGTACGGTTAGCATGTTATCTATATGTCCTCTGTCCTAAACAGTTCTTACCAGTAGTCTGACGGTTGGCATGTAGTGCTCCAGCGGGGGAATTCCCCAGATGTAAAGGATGTTTTATCCTGGATTGGAGTTTATCATTCCATGACAGCAGACATGCTTGACCTGGTTGCAACGCGCAGTAGCTCTGTCTGTGGGGAAGATGCAAGCAGAGGAGGCAGAAGAGATGAAGCTGAAGTAGTAGCCATGTTTAGAAGCCAATATTGATAGTTCTTTTCACCTAACTAGATCAGACAGATTCACAGATGGCTATGTTTGATCAAGTGAATAGTAAATCCCGCTTATCTATCCATTCACTCTGGAAGTTGGGATAAGCTTCACTGGAATGTACTGATGGAACTCCATACTGTGGCAGAGTAGTAGAAGGATGTAAGGTGTCACATTCTTCCTACAATGATACCTCGTATTGCATAGAGTGCATTGGCCACAGTTTAATCCAATGGCATTTCCTTGTTCAAGACTCAAGAGACAAAATTGATAAAATCATTGTGGAATTTTGTTCGATGCTCTATAATGTCATCAAATCGCAAGCACTGACTACTACTGAGTTTCGGCAAGCGCTGTGTGTAAGTTCTGATCGAAAACTGATCGAAAAGTCCCTTACAGATTGATTGTTTTCAGTTACTTTATTTAGGACAGTCAAGCATTGACTACCTGGTCAATAGTCGTACAATAAATCAAGCCACTTGGATATATTTAGCGATGTGTCATATCATCAGGCAACTCTTGAAGTATCAACTTGGTCTATATAAAGGATAAAAAGGAGCCTGGAACATGAATAATTCTGGCACTGTGGCAGCAATTTAATAGTTTGTAGTATGGCCGTCGACAGTCCCGCTGTTTCATGTTTATTTATATGGCGTCTATGACCAATGCAGTTGGATAGACTATCATGGTAGTACGTATTTCCGTCTTTCGGCACTTGTTCCTGATAGAATCGTACACAAGGAGACATTTGGTGACATGCTATGGAATACTTCTTCAATGATGTGCTATGCATTGTTAGGGTTATGCACATAGGATTACTGCGGAGTGGGCGCTTAGTCCAGCTCTTGGATGGAGAGATCATCCTGGACTTGACTTTGTCGAGGCGCTGAAGGATTGCTGGATGCTCCAATCTGATTGATTTGCATGATATCCTCTCCCGTTCAAGCTGATACTGTAGTGATAGGGATGATTTTTCCATTCTCATTCTTGATTACCCCTGAAAGTGCCAAGGCTCCACAATTGCCTTGGGTTGGTCTGCCGATCGGCCAGTCTAGTCAGTAGTCGGCCTCGATGAGCCGTGCGAGCAGCAAAAGTCGGGATGAGATGGTCTTGACTCTTGAGATTTTACTTCGTCGTACAGTCACTTGAGATTAACCTGTAGATCGACGGTGGGCTTGTAGTGGTCAAGAATTGAGATATCGAAGAGCAGTGGTGGTAGTTGCTCTTTGTCCAGTTGTTCTAGACCTCAGCGAGCGATCGGAGGAGAAGCCTGTTTGGGCTATTGTAACATCTCACACTTTTCCCATGACTGTCTATCTAGACTCTTCGCCTATGCAATTATTATACATAGTACGTAGTCTTTTAAACCAGCCGCGACTGGAGATGCTGATATCAAACAGTTCAATAGAAAAGCCCAGGTCCACCGCGTCTGTGCAGCGCCAAAAAAACCCACGAGATCCAACCAACCAGATCTCTCAAAGAACAGCTCTGATAGAGTCTTTGTTTTTTTAGTTTTTTAGTTTTCTTAGTCTGTCTGCATAGCATCTTGATACTACTCCTTAATCCTCCCGCTGCATGTCTGTCCTGTCCCCTTGTCCTCTTTTTCTTTGACCCCTTGGTTCTTCACAACTTTCTCTATCCCTATTCCCTGACACTGACTGGGCTGACACCAATTGTTACTATATCCGGGCAATTCTCCTCATCCAGATATCCACTACGTACTACTAGTGGGCGCGTGTCATCCTCAAACCGCCCCGTGCTCTTTACCCGTCATCAACATGAGGGTGCGTCCGTCGATCGAGAGAGCTACTAGCCATCTAGTCTAATCTTCATCTTCATTGACCCCTTCCCTCTTCCCGTTCTTGTCCTGATCGACTTTCCCTCTTTCTTCTCCCCTCCCCAAGATGCCTGTGGGCTTGTCTTCTCCGCCTGCAACTGGCACCTTGACCACTTTAGTCTCCTCTTCCCCCGACGCCTATCATCTACACTCCCAAGACAACCGGAGCGCCAGTAGCACCAGTTGGCCAAGTCCTCCTCCCTCCGCTTCTTCTTTTCCTACTCCTCCCTCTTCTTCTCACAATCATCATCGTCACCGCCCTTCTATCCCCCCCGGTGGTGCTTCTCCCGTGCGCAGAAAGCCTCTCCCCCAGCAGCATGCTTCTTCCCCTGTGAACTCATCCCGCCTGTCTGGGCCTTCTTCGGCGTCCCCCATCACGCCAATTGATACCACTGCAACTACTCCTATTACGGCAATTACAGCTGCTGCTACCTCTTCTCCTGCGGCCAAGACGTCCGCAGATCCTCCACTGGAGGCCACCAAAGCCCTATCCTCTCCCCCCGTCATCAGAAGCAACATTCCTGCTTCTCACTCTTACTCTCTTTCTTCTGCATCATCAGTATATGAAGAAGACACCTCCCTTTTTGTACCGAAGGGCCTCGATAGGTATGGCAGTGTTGGCGCAGGCTCCCCCTCCCGTGCCTTTCTGGGCTTGCCCCTCGCATCCCCCCTTTAATAGTCACCCGTCTTCGCTTTCCTCTATTCCTTTCGTTTCTCTCTATCCGAGATCCAAACTCAATGTCAGATGCCCCCCTTCGGACGCTATAGAACTAACCTCGTGCTTCAATTGCTCTTCCCCAGATCCTCTCGAGGTGGCCCCTCCGCTCCCCCTCTTCGGATAGATACCTCCGCCGCCTACTGGCACGGGGAGGACGACGAGGAGTCCATCTACACCGCTCAATTCTCGAATGGAACCCCTTTGCACAATCGTCTTGTCAGCGAACCGTTCATCCCTGTGCTCAACTCTCCACCGGGCCACAAGCGAGCCCAAACAATGGCATTGCACCCATCGTCCAACCGCCCACCACCTCTGCGCATCGACTCCGGCGGCCGAACCCCGTCGGCCAGCTCCTTGGACTCGAAACAGCCCAAGACCCCCGGGAACAAGATCAGCTCCTTCTTCGGCTGGAAAGCCGTCACCACGTCGCCCAGCGCGGAGTCCTCGAGCACCGAGATCTCGGATTCGGGCCGGTCCCCTCTCCCATCCCCGATGCCTCCTTCAATGCCCAGCGCGTCCTTCTCCATCACCCAATCGACCACAGTACCGTTCGATCCCACCCGGTTACCGGCCCGCAACCCGTCCCTGAGCAGCGCCAGTGTCCTCGAGGCCGGGTCAGCCTCCAAGCTGGCGGAGCTTGAAAATGAACTCCGCGAGATCAGTTCCGAGCTGGCTGGTTCCATTCGGCGGGAGATGGAGCTGGAAGATCTGGTAGAGAGGTTGCAATCCGAGATGCCGCTGGATACCGCCAACCGGCGCACCAGCGACTATTTCTCCGACTCCGGCACTAGCTCTATACGATATATATACGATGCCAATGGGAAAATCGATGACTTGGACAAGTACCGGCGAGCAGCCGAGCAGGAACGCGCACAGCTCAAGGTTGAGCTGTCGCAGAAGTGGCAGGAAGAAAGAGCCCGTCGGGCCGCAACCGAGTCACATGTCCAGATCCTAGAATCGCAAGTGAACCAAGTATGTTATCTCCAATTTCAACTTTGGCTCGGCTAATGTGGTCAGTTACGACGGGAGAGAGTCGAGTCGTCCGATCTATCCTCGAAGGCTCGAGAACTCGAGAGTGCTCTGGAAGATACCCGCAGAAAACTGGCGGAGGAACGCCAGATCAAGGACAACTTTGAAGACCTCTTAACGGCGATGAGAGTGGAGCTGGAGCAGTTGCGAAACGAGCGCGACCATCTTCGGGATAATGTGATTCCTCAATTACAGCAGCAGCAGCAGCAGCCGCCACCACAAAGCACACCCGCCCCCGACTCCTCAGAGATTGAGCGATTGCTCGGCGAGATCGAGGCTCTGAAAATCGAGAATGCCTCGCTGGCCCAGCTGCAAGGCAGTCGGTTTGCGTCGATCGCCGAAGAAGGCGGTATGCCCCCACGAAAACCCGCGGGACTGGGTCTGTCGCGGTCAAATTCGCTGGCGCGGCACTCGAAACCGAATGGCCCAAGTGGACTGTCTCGGTCAAACTCGTTGTCTCGGTCGAATTCCGTGTCGACCAAGGATCGCGGGGATCGCGAGGCATTGGCGGACCGTATGGAAGATGTGGAAGCGCAGCGGGATGCGCTGCACCAAGCCCTGCGGTATCTGCTCATGAGACAAGAACAGCAGGCTCGCGAGTACGAGAAGCGCTTAAAAATACTGGAGCTGGAGCTGGCTCGTGCCCAGGAAGCGGGCTCCCCGCGGAAATTGGGGTACGAACGAGAGGTGCGGAATCTCCGGGAGGAGGTGAACCATCTCCGCCAGCGGGCCGAGGACGCCTTGGAACAGAAGTGGCAATGCGAAAAGGGACTGGCAGGGTTGAAGATGGATTTGGACCGGGCCGAGCAGGAGACCACTTCCTTACGCGTTCTGCTGCAGGAGCATGATATTTCGATCCCGGATGAACTTGAATCCGAACGTGACGGCTTCGCCGAGGTGATCGCGACCTCTTCGTCTCTGGAGATGGCATACAAGCAGTTGCAGGCGGAACGGGAAGTTGTCGAAGCCAGTGCGGCTCACTCTCCGCTGGTGGAGAGTGACGCGTTCGCGGCATCCATCAGCCGAACGGAAGCACTGGCGAACCATGTGCAGCAACAGCTGCAGAGGAACAGCTCCCTGCGCAGCCGCCTGGCCGAGGCGATTGGCAAGGGCGAAAAGGATCAGCAGCTGTCGGCGGCCCGGATCAACGAGCTGCAGGCCCGGCTCAAGGAGCTGGAGGAGACGCTGCTGATGGCGCAGCAGCATTCCGAGGAGGAAATGGCGCGTCACGAGGAGGAGATCCACAACCTCGAGGCCAGCCACAACGCGCAGCTGATGCGCATGAAGAACGGCTCCCGCAGCCCGGCGGCACTGTCGCCGAAGCCGCCCAGCACGCCGTTTGGGGCGCGCTCGCCCCGTCTGGACAAGACGACCAGCGGCGACGGGATTCCCCTGAACGAGGCGATCCAGGCGGAGACGCTGGAGAAGCGGGTGAAGGAGCTGGAGAAGCTCCTGCGGGATGCAGATATGGAGATGGAGGAGGTGGTCAGTCGGATGAACCGGGCTCAAATCGAGGTGGCCGAACTGCAATCTGACCGGTACGTGCCTTTGATGATTGGTGTCAGATGAGATAGCTAACTGTTCGCAGAGACGAAGCACTCCGCCAGACTCGGAAGCTCCAGGCAGAGATCCAAGCCGAGCGAGAGGCGTTCAAGGCCTTGATGGCCCAGTAATCTAATCTTGTACTGTATATACCATGGTGGAGTTTCTTCTGCCATATTCAGGACTAGTCAGCCTGATAAAGACACGAGGATGATGTATATCTTCATTGTACATAATTAGAGGAATACTAAGCTATATAATGACGCGGTTGACTCATTTACACGTAGCGTGGAGTAGTGTGCTCTGTAGCTGTCCACTGCGCATTGCTACCCAGTGTTTGTTTTGTTTGTTTCACATGCTTTATCTATCAACAGCATCCACCAGATTTGTCCTCCATAACAAGACACCTTCCCATCATCATATCATCTCCAGTATTCGATCTGTCAGAGTCACCGACATCCTCTCTCTTCTAACACCCCCAAACTCATTCAAATCAGTTGAATACTGAATCACCCCCAAAATGGAATACTACCTCCCAGGTCCGCCACCCACCCATCCATAAGCACCCTTGCACATCCAAACCCATAGACTTCCCTTCACCCAAGTAGAAAAAACCCAGCTAACAGCAACGAACAGACTACCTAACCCCCCTCCTCACAAACCCCACCCTCCAACACCTCCGCAGCCACGCCGCAGACTGGTCCTCCTCCTGCGCCGGGTCCCTCAGCGCCCTGCGCACCGCCTACCTGGACCCCTACCTCATCGCGCCGCTCTCGCGCCTCCTCGCGTCCTCCACCCCCGATCTTGTCTCTGTGCTGCTCCTCCTTTTCGTTCTTGTTGTCTCGGTCAAGGTGCTGGACTATGCGCGCCGGGTGGTCGTGTTCTGGGTGATGCTTGCGGTGAGGGTTGTGGTTTGGGGGGCGGTGGTTGGGCTGGGGTGTTATGTTTATAGTGTTGGGGTTGAGAAGGCGGGCAGGGATCTGGGGTGGCTGGTTGGTGTGCTTTGGGGG